TGACTTCACGGCTGGTCACCAGTGCGGCATCACCAACGGGGACATGCTCAAGCTCCAGCGCGTCGCCGCCTCCGCTGGCACCGGCAACAACGATGGGCTGAACTGCGTAAATGTGGTGGACCCATTGCCGGATCTCCCGCCTGCTCCACCACCCAAACCACCGCTGCCCGCGCCCCCACCACCTGCCCCGCCTCCACCCACGCCGCCTCCGCCGTCGCTGTCGCCCTCGCCGCCGCCGCCAGCCCCGCCACCACCCGTCCCTCCACCACCCATGCCGCCGCCGCCCGCGCCGCCGCCGCCTGCGCCACCAACAACCACTGGGATCGAGGGCGACCCACACCTGACCTTTGCTCACGGGGGCAAGGCCGACTTCCGCGGGCAGAACGGCATGTACTTCAACTTTCTCAGCACCTCCAACATCAGCGTCAATCTGATGACGGAGGATGGCGTCTTCAAGCTGCATGGCGCCACCGTGCACGGCAGTTGGCTCACCCAAGCGCACGTCGTTGCGACAACCTCCGCGGGCACGCTCCACGTGTCCTACTACGCGTCCATCATATCGCCCAACAGCCTCATTGGCTGGTCCAACGGCACGTGTGCCGGGGAGAAGTTCAAGCTGGTTGGCTGGGCACTCACACCGCTGAGGGACGGCCCAAAGAACCGGCGCCAGTGCGGCGAGGTGCGGGTCCAGTCCGACTACTCCTCGATCAGACTGACGCTGCCCGAGTGGAACATCACGATCGCGCCCAAGGCGGTCCCGAGTTACTACCATCGCGACATGTGGGTGAGTGGCCCACGGGTGCGCCTCGACGTGCAGTTTGCCCTCCGGGTGCCGGAGAGGAGCCTGCGCGTGGCGCCGCATGGGATCGTCGGCCAGTCATTCGACGGCAGCGGGGTTGGTGTCGACGGCGCGCGCGATCCGGTTCCGCAATCAGGCCTCAACCTCACGACCACGGCCATGGCGGAAGGCAGCATCGAGGGCTCGTGGCGGGACTACCTGGTGGGCTCGCCCTTCGCGACTGGCTTTGCCTTCTCGCGCTTCGGCCTGTCCGAGGCGCCACCCCGCGACGTTGCCGCCTTGACGGGGCGCAAATTCTTGTCGAATGCCCCGTTTGCCGTCGCGTCGGTCGACGGTGAGGACGAATCGGGCGACGTGGCGTAGCCGTAGGTGCCTTAGAGCCCCGTATGGCGGGCCTATGTCACTGGCTGGTTGGATTTTGTGTGGTGTGAAAGCTGAAACCGGCGAGCCCCCCCCCGGGGGGGGGGCGGGGGGCGACGTCGTGTTGTGTAAAGTGGGGCCGCTCTCACACCCTCACGCTGTCTTTGATCTGAGTTTCCCGTGCCTAGTGTTGTGCGAGGGAAGTTTTGATCTAAAATTCTTGTTTCTTATCAACCGCCTTCTGTGAAAGCCTGGGGGGCTGTGGTCTCGCTCATCCTCAAGTCTGGCGTACAAAACATAGCGCGCGAGTCAAGTTGACCCCACGAACCTACACACACGACGACGTAACTCGTCTCTCTCCAGTATAAGTTCTTGCACAGCAAGATTGGGCGTCTTCTGCCGCAGTCCCTTTGATGGGCGGCCCCTGGCGAACCCCAAGCCTGGGGTTTCGAGTGGAGGGTGCCCGGATTCATCCATCCGTTGGGCCCCGGTACCTTCAAGCTTCATTAGAACTGACTGACCGATCATTTGCGCAGCCTGCTCCTCTGTCTATAACTGCGAATTTCAGAAGCACACACAAGCTGGTGCGAAATCGTGTTGATTGCGGCTTCGACCTTAGCAGCGGTACCACGCAGCTGGGCGCGCGCTTTTCTGCCGCCAGAAAGATATCACATTCCCTACGTCCTGTATCGGGGTCTTGGGGGGTTGGTGTCTATGTTTTAGGTGCTGCCGGCCGATGCAAGCTGCCGCCTCCACCGCACCAGCGATACTGGCCGCGGCTCGCCGCCACGCGCCGGCTCGGAAGAGGGGCTATCGGCGGCGCAGCAGAGCGGCATGCGTCGTCATTCGAGCAGCACCAGGTCCCCTCTTCGACGTGACGGCCGCTCCCGGAGCCGGCCGGTGCGCGCCCGACCCACGCCCCCTCTCGCACCCCCCCGATCCCCCTGCGCGGCGCCCCCTCCACTGCGCGCCGGCTCGAGCGCCTATTGCAAAATCGCGACTTTCGAGCGCAGTGCGTGCGCCCCACACGTCACGCGAGCGCAGGAGAATTTGCGGCAGAGCAGTACCGTGTACTAGCCGGAGGCATCGCGCCGAAAACCCCGCGCATTCCGCCCCAACAGAGGCTGCAGGAGGCAGATGGCCAATAGCGCGACGATCGTTACGAAATGTAGCGTGACCGGGAGGTCTCCAAGCTGTCTTGGGTGGTAGAAAAACTCGCGGCCGCAGAATCCAGAAAAGTGCAATTTCCTCTTCAGCCTGCCGAGAGCTTCCTGTCCCGCGCCCGCGCTCCGTCTCGCGTCTGGTCGCCACTGCTCCCCCTGGAGACCCTGCTGGGCCGATGCGCGATGGCATGTTCCATGTATCGCTTAAACAGGAATGATCTAAGAACAACAATGGGACTCCGAACTCACAGATAACTAAACAACATGCGGTGGGCGCTCTCGGGCAGGCGGGCGGCCGTGGCCCCGACTGCGACTCCACACAATTAGTCGCGGAAGCCGAAGAGAGCCCTGGCGAGCAACCTCTCCTAGGCGACGTCGTCGTCGCGGCGGCGTGTCGCCTCTCGGCGAGCAGGGGCGACACTCCGCTACACGAGCAAAGGCGAGATGCCGCGTCGCGCCCGCCTCGCGATTGCCGCCGCAGCGGCTGCCAGAGCGGCGACGGCGAGCCCGATCGCGGCACCGGCGGCGGCGGGGCGGCGAGGGGCGGCGGCGGGAGCAGCCTCCAGGCCGGCCGGCACGCATCGCGAGCCGGGCGAGGACTTGGCGCAGCGGTCGACGCCCTCGTCGTCGTCGGTGGTTGCGTTCCAGAGGGCGGAGCTCTCGGTCGCCGCAGCCGCGGACGCCTCGGCAGCCTGGGCCGCCGCCGCCGCCTCGGCGGAAAATAAATCAGCCTGGCTGTGCACGGCCTCCACGGTCGCCGCGTCCTGCGCCTGCACTCGCGCCCGCTCCAGGCTGTCGCTCGCCGCCGCCGCAGCAGCCTCAATCGCCCATTCTTGCTCCTCCTGGAGCGCCGCGTAAGCGTCGGCGAGGCGCGCGGCGTTGGCAGCCGCGCGCTCGCTGGCGTCCAGCGCCGCCCACTCCGCCTTGTGCATGAGACGCTGGTGGAACGCGGCGTCCTGTGCCGCCATGGAATCCGTGAGCTCCTCCGCACTCATCAGAGCCGCGTCGGCTTCGACGGTTCCATTCACGCCGTCGAAGCCCTTCTTATACTCTGCGCTCAGCTCCCAGTTTTTCGGGGCGGCGGCAGACGCCAGCGGGGCGGCGGACGCAAGCGGGGCGTTTCCCGCCACGGCCGACAGGATAGCCAACATGGCGCGCGAAACGCGGCGCCGGCACTGCGGATGCAACTGCGCAGACCGGCTCGCGCATTTCTTTTCTCTAGAGCGTTTTTCTTGTTTTGATTGCCTCTTCCTTTGTTCTCTTCTCATAAAATCGGAGGGTCGGCCCACGTTCGTGAACTGAAGCGACCCAACGATTTTATGAGTGGCAGCAAAGGAAGTGTTTGATTGCTTGCACTGCGCGCCGTGTTTTCTCGCAGCGCCCGTCGTTCAGTCGTAAAATTCTTTTTGCGGCAGCAGTGCGTGTAAAATTCTTTATGCGGCAGCAGCGGCGCCCAAACACCGTTGCCTCGAACCTGCGAACCTCCTCGCGGATGGCGACTGGCCCGCCGCGAGCGACGTACTCTGCGACGCCGCTCGACGAGATCGACGTCGCCGGGCTCTCGGCCTCCCGCTTCCTCCTCCGCGAGGCGCGCCGCCTCCCGTACCGCGACGCCGAAGGCAGCGTCAACCTGCACCTCTGCCGCCAGTCGTGGGCGCAGCTCGGTGCGAGCGCCGGGTCATACACGACGTCGGTGATGGAAAAGCTGGGGGCGTGGCGGCGCCACGCCGAGCGGTGGGCCCGGCTCGAGACCGAGAAGCGAGACTCGAAGGGCTGTTCCTCGATGTCTGCCCCGCCGCGCCGCCGCTCGCGCCGCTCGCGCCGCCTCGCCTCCGCCGCCGCTCCCTCGCCAGACACGCCGCCGCCCGCCCGCCTCCTCGACCTCCCAACGGACCTCCTCGTCCGCGCCCTCTCTCACTGCGACCCCGCCGACATCGCTCGCGTCGCGGCCGTCTCGCTGCTCTTCCACGCCTCTCTCGCGCTGGAGGGCATCCGCTTGTGGGCGCAAGAGCGCGGGTTGGAGCTGCCGGCGCTGCCAGAGGGCGAGGTCTGCGCCGTGCGGTGGCTGTGCTTCGCTGCGCTGCTGCGCGAGTCCAACCGTCTGGAGCTGGGGCGATGGAGAGGATGGCATGTTGGGCCACGGCGACGAGCAGCACCAGCACCTGCCGAAGAAGATCGAGGCCTTTGCCGGGCGGCGCGTTGTCGCCGTGTCGGCGGGAGGTCTGCACAGCCTCGCCCTCACCGCCGACGGTGCTGTCTGGAGCTGGGCCTGGGGAGGCTACGGCAAGCTCGGCCACGGCGACCCGCAGAGCCAGCTGCAACCGAAAAAGGTCGAGGCCTTTGCTGGCCAGCGCGTCCTCGCTGGGCTGGAACCGATCACAGCATCGCCCTCACCGCCGACGGCGCCGTCTTTACCTGGGGCGATGGCCGCCACGGCTGCCTAGGCCAAGGAGAGGACCTGTCGAACCAGCTGCTGCCCAAGAAGATCGAGGTGGTCGCCGAGGAAGGGATGCTCCGCGAGAAGAGGACTCTGTCGCGACCCTGCTGACGGCAGACACCACACATACTGAGAAGATGAACGCATTTTTCTTTTTTTGGAGCAGCCGCGGCGCCACCTTCGACCTTCGTTTCATCCCTCGCCTGCTCAACCCCACTCGCGTCCGCCACACACACCCCAACCGCGTCTCGCCATGCACGCTCGACTGTCGAGCCGCCTCCGCATGACCGCGGAGGAGCGCGAGGCCGAGTGGCGAGCCATCGAGGCAAAGGCAAAGGAGTCTCCGCTGTACGGCAAGCTCAAGGACCGGCTGACCGTGAAGCTCAAGAGCATGCAATCGGCCGACGAGGCGCCAGCGCCGATCGCCGAGAGCGCGGAGGACGAGGAGGCCGAGAGGGTGACGGCTGAGGCAGCGGCAGAAGCCGAGAGAGCTTCTGCCGAGGCGGCGGAAAAGGCAGCCGAGGAGGCCGCTGCGGCCCTGATTGCCGAGGAGGAGGCGGAGAAGGCGGCGCGCACCAACAAGAAGGCGAAGCGGCGCGGCAAGCAGAAGAACACCAAGCAGAAGCAGAAGGGTCCGGAGGCGGCCGGCCCGGCGCCGCCGTCGCCGCCGTGTGCCGACGCGGCTCTCTCCGAGGACGAGGAGCCTTCGCCGCTCCCGCCTCCCGCGCCGCTGGGCGAGCGGCGTCCCTCCCTCGTCGGCGGCGCCTCCCTCGAGCGCCGTCCGTCCGGCGAGCGAAGGCTGCGCCGCAGCTGAGCCAACGCCAACGCCGTCCCTGAACCTTCTCGGAAGCTTCCCTGCAGGCGAGCGGCCTGCACCGCCGCTGTCGTCGGAGCGAGAGGCGGAGAGCGCCGAGGCGCTGGAGAGGCGCCGCCCGGGAGCCTGCTCGGACGCCCTTCCCTGGCCCCTCCCCCCGCAGGCGGAGCGCGAGATGCTGGTGAGCGCCGCGCTGTCTGTCGTCGGGGAGCGTCACCCGGCGGTGCTGTCTTGCGTCTCCCGCCGGCCAGGCAGCACCGTGGTCCAGTCATTAGTGAGTCGTTCGTAGCCAGTGATTCGTCATCGTCCGCCGGCCAGGCAGCACGAGGGCGGCGTCTGCCCCCGCGTCGCGCGCGGTCTCGCCCCGCCCGCCCTCGCGCGGCTCCTCGAACCGCTCCTCGCGCAACCCAAACTCGACGACGCGCGCGGTCTCCCCCGGGCCACGCAGGCGCCACCGCCCGCTCGCCCTCGGCCGCTCTCCCGTCTCTCTCGCCCTCTCGCCCTCTCGCCCTCTCGCCCTCTCCCTCTCCCTCTCCCTCTCCCTCTCCCTCTCTCGCTCACTCTCCCTCTCCCTCTCGCTCACTCTCCCTAACTCGCTGCCCCTCCCCTCTCCCCCCCCCCCCTCGTCCGCAGCTCGCCGAGCCCGTCTGTCCGCGCCGCCTCCTTCGGCCCTCGCGACGGGCACACTTCCTAGACACTTCCTGCACACCTCCTAGACACCTCCTAAACACCTCCTAGACACTTCCCAGACACCTCCTAGACACTTCCTGCACACTTCCCAGACACCTCCTGCACTCCCTGCACACTTCCTGCTCACTTCCTAGACACCTCCTAGACACCTCCCAGACACCTCCTAGACACTTCCCAGACACCTCCTAGACACCTCCTTCGCCCCTGGCGACGGGCGGGGCGGCTGCAGTCGAGCCGACGCATCAACTCGCCACGGACCGAGTGCCGCTGGCGCCTCCCCCAAAGGCGGGCGGCAGCAGTCGAGCTCACCGCACGGCGCTGGGCGAGCGGCGCGGCGCCCCCGCACCCCGACCTCCTCCCAGCCACCGACCGGCCAACCTCACGACACGGCAGCCGACCCGGCACCGCCGGCGCCGCGACCGCCGCTGCCACGGCCGCCGCCGCCGCCGCCGCCGCCGCTGCTGCCGAGACGGCCGCTCCTGGGGCGGAGAGCTTGCCGCTGGCCGTCTCTGCTTGCTCGGCAGCCGACGCGGGCTTCCACCAAGACGAGGCGACCTGGGGGAGAGATGGGAGGTGCGGGGAGATGGGGGAGATGTGGGGAGATGTGGGGAGGCGCGGAGGGGGAGAGGCGGCGCGAGGCTGTGGGGGCGGCGCCTCTCCACGCGTTCTTCCCGCGAGCAGGCACGCGAGACGAGTGTTAACTAGTGAGTGTTAATTCGTGTTGATTAGTGTTAATTAGTGAGCAGGCGCGCGAGACGAGCCGGCGCAAGCGGCGCGAGCACGCGGCGGCGATGGGGGCGCTGCAGGCGCTCGGCTGGGGCGGTGGACACTTGTTCACAGCTGGCGGTGTGAAGAGACGCGGACTCGCCGTAGGCGCTTGGCTCTGCGGCGGACGCGGGCGCGCTGCGCTCGAGCATCGCGGAGGCGGAGGAGCACGTCCGCAACTACCCGCGCGGCCGCACCCTGCCGTCGGTGCAGGAGGAGTTGCAGGTTGCGCGGTTGCGCCTGCAGACCCTCGGCGCAGACAAGGCGGCCGGCGTGGGAGGCGCGGCACGCCCCTTCCCCCCTCTTCTCGCACACAACACCCCCTTCCCCCGCAGACGCAGCAGCACACAGTCACGCACGCACGCACACACACACACACACACACACACACACACACACACACACACACACACACACACACACACACACGCACACACACACACACACACACACACACACACACACACCGTGCCCGGTTCCTCTCTTCTTCCTCTCCTCTCACCGGCGGAGGCTCACCCGAGGCAGCCCCAAACAGCCAGGCGGCCTCGCAACGATCTCTGAGGTCGGTTCACATTCATCACCACGAATTAACACTCATTAGGCGGCCTCGCAACCATCTCTGAGGTCGCCGACCACGCCACAACCACCTCGAGCCTCCCCGAGGCGACACCGCGCGACCACGAGCTGGACACGACCCGGACACGTCCATCACCCGTCCACGACATGTCCCGCAGGCGGGCCGTGCGCTGCAGGGCCCTCCGCCGCCCGTCGCCGTGCCGCTCTCGGAGCTGCGAGCCGCGACGGCGAACTTTGACGAGGCGTCCAAGGTGGGCGAGGGCGGCTTCGCGTCCGTCTACCGCGCCGCGCACCTGCCTTGGATCCCGGGCGTCGAGGTCGGAAATCCGGTAAAGCCTTTCCCCCCCCCCCCTCCCACCCCAACACGGGTCCCCCCCTCCCTGCCCCCCCTGCCCCCCCTGCCCCCCCTTTCACCCCTAACCCCTTTAACCCCTTTCACCCCTTTCACCCCTTTCAACCCCTCACCCCCCCCCCCCCCCCTTCTGCCCCCCTCCCCGGCCTCGTCATCCTGTCACGCCCCTGCCCCGACAGGTCGCAATCAAGAAGCACTACGTCAACGCCGCGCTGCCACCCACCTGGCGCGGCGGCGCTCGCGACGCGACCCCCCCGCGCGCGTCGACCCTCTCGACCCGCTCGGGCCCCGGCACAACTACAGCCCCGAGACCACCCTAGACCACCCCCCCGGGATGATCCCGAGACCACCACCCCGAGACCACCCCTGAGACTACCCCCTGAGACTACCCCCCCGAGACTACCCCCGAGATGACCCGAGATTACCCTCGAGACCACCCCCGAGATGACCCCCAGACGACCCCCCGAGACCTGCCGGGAGTACCTCAAGGTAGGCACGCAGAGCCTCTCCTCCAACCAGAGCCCCGACTTCGCCGACCTGCAGCGCGAGGTGGCGCTGCTGCAGCGCTGCTCGCACGCGCACCTGCTGCCGCTGCTCGGCTGCTGCCTCGAGCGCACGGCGCGAGCACCCGAGCGCACCCGAGCGCACCCGAGCGCACCCGAGAAGTACCCGAGAAGTACCCGAGAGGTGCCCGAGAGGTGCCTGAGAGGTGCCCGAGAGGTGCCCGAGAGCTTCGTCCCGCCCCGCTCTGCGCAGCGATGAGACGCCGTCCCGCCGCTCAGCCTCAGGCGCCATGCCTCATCTTCCCGCTCTGCGTGGGCGGGTCGCTCCAGGCGCCGCAGACGAGGACGAGCTTCGGCCAGGGAACGAGGAGGTGTGCCCGAGGTGTGCAAGGCTCGCCCTAGGCGCGGCTGCATCCGTCCGCGTGCGAGCATTGGACGTCGCTGCAGCGGCTCGGCTTCTCGACGGTGCCGCCGCCTCTGAGCTGGCGGCAGCGGCTGCAGGTGGCGCGGGAGGCGGTCGAGGCGCTGTGAAGAGACGCCGTTCACAGCTTCCGGCTGCGAGCAGGTGGTGCAAGAGGCGCTCGAGGCGCTCAGCTACTTGCACACGCCGACGTCCTCCAAGCCGCGGATCGTGCGCCGTGACGTCAAGCGTGCCTGTCCCGTCCAGGGCGCGTCCACGACGTGTCCGAGGCATGTCCATAGGTGCACCGCGACGTCAAGCCGGCAAACATCCTGCTCGACGCGAACTTGCACGCGCGGCTCGCCGACACGGGCTTCGCCAAGGCGACGCGGCAGCACGCCGACGAGCGACTCACTAATGAACACTAATGAACACTAATGAACACCAATTAACATTCATTAGGCGACGCGGCAGCACGCCGACGAGCGACTCACTAATGAACACTAATGAACACTAATGAACACCAATTAACATTCATTAGGCGACGCGGCAGCACGCCGACGAGCGACTCACTCTCTCCGTCGGCCAGGGCGCCTGCTACACGCCCGGCTACGCCGACCCGATCATCATCAACGGCGGAGAGTGCGCGAGCTTACCCGAGATTGCCCGAGATCATCATCAGCGGCGGAGCGTGCGCGCGTCGCGTCCCCGAGACCCGCTCTCTGCCGCCGCCGCCACACTCCCGCCGCACTCCCGCCGCCGCACCGCCGCCGCCACCTCTCCCGCCTCCACCTCTCCCGCCGCCCACCTCTCGGTCCCGCCCTCTGACTCCCAAGCCCATCCCGGGCCCGTCCTCTGCGCGCCGCGTCCACGCCGCGTCCGCGACACGTCCCGCGCAGGTACTCCGCCGTGACGGACGGGTTCGCGGTGGGGATGACTCTGCTCGTCTGCCTGACCAACCGATCCCCCATCGCGGTGGTCGACCGCTGCGAGGCCGAGTTTGGGCGCGGCTGGGACGAGATCAGCGGCGCCGAGATTGCCGGCGGCAGTGAGGGCGGCAGCCAGTGCGCCTGGCCGCCCGAGGTTGCGGACGCCGTCAAGCGGCTCTGCTTCAGCGCCGCGGGGGACACCCCCTCCCTCTGCGCGGACCGGCGGCGGAACCGCTCCTCCATCGAGAGGACGATGCACGCGCTGCTCGAGCTGCAGAAGACGGCCGCGTAACGTCGCGTAGTTGCGTGTGGCTACGTCGTTGGGCCGGGGCGGCGGGGGTGGCGCGTGTAATTCTTCTACGGACTGTTTGGAACCGTGAAGCCGAGACGCGCGGCTATCTGTTGAAAGATCTGAGATGAGATCTCCAGATCAATGAACCGGTTGTGAACTTCTCCGCGCGGAGTTTTAGGGTCGCGTGGCGCGCACAATAATGCGATATATGGCTCTTGTGTCTCGTCGTGTGTTTGAGGCCGAAAGGCTCTGGCTCAGGTCGTGGGGCATAGCTCGGGTGTAAACGGGGTCTGGGGAGGAAGCCCCAGCTGCCCGCCGCAGGCGCCGCCGGAGGCTGGCCCGCCGCAGGCGCCGATTTTTTGGCGTTTTTTGCTCAAAATTGAGGGAGTTCTAAGAGATGTGTTTGGGATTTCTCATCTAAATTCTCATCAAAATCGAGCTCGCTACGAGCTCTCTAACTGCACAGCATCTCCTCGTTGAGCCTAGCGGCGCCCGTATCGCCCACACATTCTTGCTGCCGCTCAACCTCCGCCAGTCTCTCCTTGCTCGTTGCTGGCGCTGCCGCCCCCAGTACTGCGATTGCAGCTCCTTGGCATGCCGCGCCGCCTCCATCTGCTGTGCTTCCCGCGCTGCCGCTTCCTCTAAAGCAGCGCCGCCACTAAGCGGCGCAACCAAGTTCTCGCACTGTTTGCATGAGCATGTGTCCTGCTTGGCGCGGCGCACAATCCGCGCGCGGCGAGTGAGAGCAGAAGACTGACAGCAGGAGCTGCAGGAGCTGCAGGAGCTGCGCAGGTCGGATGGGCAGTGACGCCGTCGAGCGACGGCGCAAAGACCAATCACCACCGCTGCACCTGTGAGAGCCGCGACACGAGGCTGCTGGCAGCTGGCAGAGCGATTCGCGATTCCGGCGGCCGCCGTCAGCCCGCCGACACCGACGGCCTGTCTGAGATCAAAATCCCACCGCACGTCGGACCAGTCGTGCGTCAGCCATGGCGACGAGACGTCTGTATGCAGACAGCCCGCCACCCGGGCGATAGAACATGCCAGCTGGGCTCTTCCAGGGCTCTCGTGGCCCGTGGCGCGTGCCCAGTGGAATAGGGCGGGCTGCGGCGGGCGCATAACTATTCACAGCTAATGAAACCTATAAAAACTCGCGGCTTCATCAAAGTTTGAGGTGGCTTCGTCCTCAGCACCATCAAGACAGCTCTATTCACACCCTGTTTGGTTTGAAGCCACTCGGGGATGCCCGTTTACACCCAACCGACGAGTCGCTGGGCCCTCTGACCTGAGCCGGAGCCAAAATAAAAAGACCTCTTGGACTGCACACACAGACGTCGTCACGAGGCAATACTAGAGGTTCGCGGGAGAGGGCGCAAGCGAGAGCGTGGTGGAGCCAGAGGGGCGAGGCGGCGCAACCTCGTCGCCACCTTCGCACAGCAAATCGCTCGGCGCAAAGACGGCGCCGCGGCAGGTGGACCGGATCTCCATCGACGGCAGTGACTGACATGTCAGCCGCGCCGACCACGCGCAAAGCCGCTGGTTCGTGTGGTGCAGCAGCTCAATCCACGAGGCGCGGCCGCTCGTGTCGTCGACCACTTCGCGGAAGGCGGCAAAGAGCGCACCTAGTGACACGAATTGGCGAGCTTATCGATGTGGCCATCGTCAAACATGCAGACGCCACAACGAGGGCTTCTGTTGCGAGATTGAGGCCGGGGCTCAGAGCGCGCCGCGGTAGGCCAAGCCGCCGGCCGTCGTCGCATAGCCCCAGAGAAAGTCGTGATCGTCACAGAGCTCGCTCCGCCGGGCGGGTGGCGGCTCCTCCGCAGGGGGAGCCGCGCAGTCGCCGAGGGGGACGGCCCCGCAGCGTTCCGTGGCGGGGGGCTCCAGTAGGAGCGCAGACTCCTCGCCGACGCGGCAAGCCTGCACGAGGAAGATCTTCGGCTTGCCCCGCAGCGCCGGCGCCGCCGAGGGGCCGAGCAGCCCAAAGAGGGAGCGGAGCGAGGCGGCCTCGCCGTCCTGGCACTCGATTGCCGCGTCCGAGCCGTGCGCCATCAGAGCAACCACCGACGAGGCGTGCCCGTCCCATCCTGCAAAGGCGTCGTGGGCACCGGGTGGGCGACAGCGAGCGCGGAGACAGAGGGCGACGCTGCGCGGTAGAGGACACGGTGTGCGAGGGCGATGCGGGCCGCTGACCGTCCCGCGTCGCGTGTGCAATGAGGGCCGCCCGCAGCTCAGACGCCGACGGATTCTGCACCGTCGTCACTGTATAGCCGAGAGCGCGCAAGGCCTCCCGCGCGTCCACCATCTCTGCGGCCGCGTACTCTCGGCGCGCGCCGACCGAGACGATGAGCGCGCGGCCGACGGACGCGCAGCGCGGGTAGCAGTGGGGCTCTCTCGCGCCCGCCGAGTAAACCTCCTCCTGCTCCTCGGAGGTGGACACCTCGCGGTGGAGACGCTCCCGGAGACGGCGGAGCGCGGAGGGGCCGCGCGCTGCCAGCGGCGTCCACGCCCACCCGTCCAGCTGCAGAAGCGCCTCTGCGCGCTCGGGCGACAGTCTTCCCTCGCGATAGCTCGCCCTCTGCCTCGCCGCCCACAGACGCAGAGGCTCCGGCAGCTTTCGGCCAGAGCCGGCCCGCCGCATGTGCCGCGCAAACTCAGCAAAGCGCTGACGGGGCAGGGAGGGCGGTGAGACGAGAGGCTGTGGGTTGCGTCCTGAACTCTTTTCGCACGACGTGGATGGGTGAGTGCACTTGCCTGCTCCCACTTGGCTGAGCTCGGGTCGAACTCGAAACCCAGCTGTTCGAGAGCCTCGCGCCGTGCCGAGAGCAGTTCGCCACGCTTGTGCAGCACCCGCTGCCGGGCCACCCAAGCAGGCAGCCCCGGCGACTGCGCATAGTCCACCGGAGGAGAGGCGTGGCCGTTCTCGGCAGCAAACGCTTCGAGCTCCTCGAGCCTCTGCTCCCACGCGTGCATGAGCGGGTCCCAGACGAACCCAAGCTCGTCCAGCTCGTCTACCATCGAGTCCGAGAGCGCGCCCGTCCGCCGCAGCATGCGCTGCCGAGACGCCCATCGGATTAGCGAGGGCGGCGAGCCGTTGGCGGCCGATGGCAGCGCCACGCCGTGCTGCGAGGTGAGCGCGCGGAGCTCGTCGAGCCGGGTTCGCAGCGAGCCGGCGCGGCCAGTCGCGGGCAGAGCACTCGGCTTGTATGTCTTGACGCTCAGCTGGCTCGGCGAGGGAGGAGCCGGCGAGGGAGGAGGCGCCTCACAAGCGGCGACGGCGGCACGGCAAAAGTGTGCCGGCGCGGCAGGCAAACGCACGCGTGGCTGCGCTGTCAGGCACTGCAGGCCAGAGGCGGCGGGGATGCCGAGTAGCACGCACACTCCCGCCACGCCACGCATCGTGCGGCGAAGGTCGGACGAGAGGAGGAAACGCGCGCGGGGTTTCCGGCAGCGGGGGACGCGACGCGCAATCGACGAGAGCCCGCCGTATTTTGATCAGCGAAACTGCAGGGTATGGACTATTGGTTGGGTTGTTGGTTGTGGTTGGTGGTGTGTGTTAAAAGAAAGAAAGAAGAGGCCACACAGGTATTTTAAACGTAGGTTTAAAAATTCTTTTTGCGTGCTCTCCAGAATCCACACCTGGCGAGTAGAGGCCCCGCCCACCCAGGGTACCCTCTACGAGGACCCATTGCTCTTTCGAAGGCCCCCGGGGCTCGCCGGGGCTCTGCTCCCCTCGAGAGAGCGCGTGCATCGGTCCACCGTAGACCTCTCCCGCAGCTCTAGCGGTACTCGCCAGACACCAAACTCCTGGGTAACGAACGGCATGGAGGAATTGGCCGGCCCGGCTGATCGCCCGTCGCTCGAAGAGAGCACGAGCCTCGCTGCGAGCGCTCTGCGCATCGCTCTGTGGCTCAACGCGACCAAATCCTGCAAATCCTGCCGTCGCGAGCAAGAATGCACGTGGCCGATGAACTCGACCGACGGCGCGCCACGAGCTCACCCGTACCTCGCCCAGTCCCTCTACTACGGTTCGCCGGGCACTGCAATCTTCTTGCAGCAGCTCGCCACTACGCGGGCTCTGCCGGAGGCTGACGCGTGGCGTGGTGTCGCAAGCTGCGCTCTCGCCGCGGCTCGCTCCAGCGTGCCGAGCAGCCTGCGCGACTTTGGGGCAAACGCGGGCTTCTACTACGGCCTGACAGGCATAGCGTACGGCCTTCGCGCGGCGGGCGACAGCAGCGAGTTGTTTGCGACCGCGGCGTCGACCATCGAGGAGCACGTGCTGTCCCGCGTGGCGCCCTTCTCGTCCAGAGGCGGCGCCACGCTGTGGAACAACACCGACGTCGCGCACGGCGCGTCGGGCACGGGGTTGTACTTCCTGTGGATGGCGACTCGGCGGCCCGAGCTTCGAGAGGAGACGCGGCGTGCGGCAGGGGATGCGGCGGTGCGTGCTGGGACGTGGCTTCTGAGTCGCGCCGAGCCGACGGCGCGGGGGCTGCGCTGGGCTCGCGGCCTTAGATGCTCGACGGCAGGTCCGTAGATTCAGATCCACGGATTCCAACTAGCCCTCATGAGACACGTAGTCGAGGCGTATCTCCACTGGATTCGCAGCCTTGAGGGTTTTCGATGCTTTGAATGCATTGCCGTCCTCCCGCCCTCAGTGCCCTCAGTGCCCTCAGTGCCCTGCACTGACGCACCTAGGCTCGCGGGCCAGACACTGACGGGACACACGCCCACGACTACTACCCGACCTTTTGCTGCGGCGGCGCCGGCGTCGCCTACTTCCTGTCGGAGCTCGCGCAGGCGCCCGCGAACCTCTCCGCCCTGCTCACGCCGTCGCGGCGTGCAGCCTTCCTCGACGGCGCCCTCCGCGGCGGCGCGCACGTGATGTCGCTCTCCACGACGGCGGGCGTGCCTCACCAGGCGGGCGGGCTGCTCCTTCCTCACGAAGAAGAGGGCCCTGGCCGGACACAGTTCTTCCTCGGCTGGTGCGGCGGGCCACCCGGCTGGGCGCGCCTCTTCGTGTCGCTGCACCGCGCGACGCACGACGCCGTGTGGCTCGACCGTCTGGCGCTCGCTGCGCGGGCGGTTGCGGCGCTCGTCCAGCCCCCCACTTTGCCGGTGCTCTACCCCCTTCCCCCGGCGGGGACCCCGCCATGGTCCAACCTCGGGCAGTGCTGCGGCGCGAGCGCGGCGGCGCAGTTCCTCCTCTCGCTCGCCGACGGTCAGGCCGCGCCTCTCGACCCCGCAGTCCGGCGAGAGGCGAGGGCCGCAGGACTACGCCTCGCCCGCGCCATCGCGGCGCGCGGCGTGCCGGCGGCGCCCGACGGGCCAGCGGAGCCGATCGCGCGAGCAGCCTCTCGGACTATTGCCGGAGACTTCTCGGGACCTCTTTGTAGGCGAGGGCTGGCGGTGCCGTCGCCCGAGGAGCACGCCGCGCCGCTCGACACGCGCTGGCAGGCGGGCTGGATGCAGGGCGCGGCGGGCGTCGGCAGCTTGCTGCTCCACGCGCACGCGCTGGCCACGGGGCAGACAGAGGGAAGGCGCGTGCCGTGGCCGGATGAGCCATACAGCGGTGTCGGGACTGCTCTTCCGGCCTGAGGGAGAGGGAGTGCGTGCGGCCGCGGCCGAGGAGGCCGCGCATGTCCCGCTCGGACAGCAGGTCGAGTACGTACGTCGAGACGAAGCGGTCCACGCGCTGGGGCACGGCGGCCGCCTCCGGCTCGCCTCCGGTGAGCGCGACGGCGAAGCGTCGCCCGTGCAAAGGGATTGTCGAGGATTGCTCATTTCTTTTCCAGTAAAAAAGAAAGAAAACACACAACCCAAGGGAGGGATGGGAGGACGGCACGCCGCCACCACACAGGGATTTTAAGGAGAGGTGTGTGTTCCAGTAAAGAAAGAAAGAAAAAATTAATCATGGGAGGGCTTCGTGAAGGATGGATTGAAAAACATTCGAACAAAGAAGAGGCGACGGGAGGAACCGGCGGAGGATGCAGTGACGTGAGACACACACACACACACACACACACACACACACACACACACACACACACACACACACACACACACACACACACACACACACACACACACACACACACACACACACACACACACCGCTCACCCACGCGCACTGGGCCTTGCACTTTGAATGCCGTGGGGCTCCTGTCGTCAGACGTGGAGACGCGAGGGTTGCCCCCCCTTGCCCCACCACCTCGTGTGTGTGGAGAAGTTTACCTTACCTTACCTCGGCTTCATCCTTTCTTCTTTCTGGCGGCAAACACATGAGTGGCTCAGCCGGCCGCTCAGCCCTGCTGGCCGAGGTGGCGGTGGGCGACCTGACCGCGCTGCGCGCCTTCCTCTCCGGGCAGCGGACGCGCGGCAGTCTCAACGCGCGGCTCGACACGGAGAAGCAGGACACGCTGCTCACCTGGGCCGCTCGGCACGGGCAAGCCGAGGCGGTGCGGCTGCTGCTCGAAGCCGGCGCAGACGTCGGGGCGGCTGACGGGGACGACGCCTCCGCTCTCCTCGTTGCGTGCGAGAAGGAATGCCTCGAGTGCGCCCGGCTGCTCCTCGAGGCCAATGCGGCGGTCGACCAAGCCGATAAGGATGGCTTCACGCCGCTGTTCATGGCGTGCGAGGAGGGCCACCTCGAGATCGCCCGGCTGCTTCTCGAGGCCAACGCGGCGGTCGGCCAAGCCGCAGCGGCCGGCACCACGCCTCTGTTCGCCGCGTGCCGCTTTGGCGACCTCGAGATTGCCCGGCTGCTCCTCGAGGCCGGTGCTGCGCCCAACCAAGCCCCGGACGACGGCTTCACGCCACTGTTCATGGCGTGCTACAACGGCCACCTCGAGGTCGCCAAGCTCCTCTCCTCCTACGGCGCCTCCCGCGCCGCGGTGCCGCCCTTCGACACGCCCGAGGAGATCGCAACCGAAGAAGGCCACGCCGACCTCGCCGCCTGGTTGGTCGCCAGCCGCGGCTGGACGCCGCTCGCGCACCTTGAGACCCTCACCGCCGCCCGCGCTCTCTCCCTGCTGCGCAGCGGCGCGAGCCTGCACGAGGGCGAGCCGACGCCGCTGCAGCGCGCCGCGGGCGGCGAGGGCGAGGCGGCGGCGCTGATCCGGCGGGCGGCGGAGCCGTGGTCGCCGGCAAGCCACTCGCTTTTCCCCGCGGCGGCGCGCGAGTACGCGGTAACGGTCATGCGCATCGGCTACCAGATCGCGCTCTCTCCGCCCGACGACGCCGAGGCGCGCCCGGACTGGAGCGCGCTGTCCGACGTGTGGCGCGAGCACGTGCTGCCGCACGCGGTGGCGCGCTGAGGCCGAGTGAGGACGCGGGTGCCACGCGGCGGCGCTGATCCGGCGGGCGGCGGAGGCGGAGGCGGCGGAGGCGGAGGGGCAGGCAGCGTCGGAGCGCGAGGCGCTGGCCGCGCTGCAGCGCCTCGTGAGCGCGGACAGCGCCCGCGGCGTTGCGAATCGCGATCGACGACGCCACGCCACACGCGGGTGCGATCGACGCCTTGGACGAGGAGCTATCGGCGCTCGGCTCGCAGCGTTTGAGGTTGCCGAGGCGCCGGCGGCCGCTGCTCAGACGGCGGCAACGGCAGTGGGCGAGGTTGAACCACTTATGCGTCGTGTGCATGAGCGAGCCGATCACGCACGTCATGGTCCCGTGCGGGCACCACTGCGTTTGCGAGGATTGCTCGACTCGTCTCCAGGGAGGCACAAATGCCATGTCCGCTGTGCAAGGAGCCGTTCACGATGGCCATGCGCGTGTACGCAGGTCGCAGCAGGGTGTCGCGTGATTACTTCGGCGGTTTTCTTTTCAGTGCTGCGCCGCCCCGTTTTTATTTCTCATTCGGACCAAACAGTCCGCCGGCCGGGGACCCCGCTCCCCGGCGCGCGCCCGCTCGGTCTGAGCCGCGGAGCGCCATCATTCTTGTGTTCTTCAAAAAAAACGAAGGCAAAAAAAAAAGCCTTCATCTGACATGTCGCGCCTCTCCGACCTGTGCGTCGCGCTGACGGGCCAGGACGCGGTCGTCGTGTACCACCAGCTTCAGGCAATCGCGGCCAACGTGATCAGCTGGCTGCTCGTCCTCCTGCGCGTTCGTGTGCCTGCGCTCCGCCTTGGGCGAAAGGGCGCCGACAGTGCCGTGCTCGTGCTCTCGCCTGGTGGCTTCGAGCGCTTCGCGCTCGAGCCGCTGCCAGTGGAGAGCGTCGTCACCGTGGGCTACAATGTCACCGCGCCCACCGTCGAGCGCCTTCCCACGTGTAACTCGCTGGCGCGCCTGCCCGACGGGCCGCCCCCGGGCCACGCGATCGTGCGCATCAAGGCCTTCTCCGTGAATTACGCGGACGTGACGATTCGCTGGGGTCTGTACGAGAGCGCGATCAAGTATGTGGGCTACCCCATCTGCCCGGGCTTCGACCTTGCGGGCGTGGTGGAGCGGGTGGGCCCCGGCGCGAGCGTGCAAGAGGGGGACACCGTGGTGGGCATCACCTTCTTCGGCGCGTACTCGGAGCGCGTCTTGGTGCCCTGCCACCAGCTCTTCGCAGTGCCAAAGGGCATGTCCATCGCACAGGCCGCGGCGCTTCCGAGCGTGTCGGGCACGGCGCTCCATGCCCTGGCGCTCGCGGGCTTGTGGCCGTCGCTCCCAGCGTCGCGGAACCGTGCCGTGCTCGTGCACTCAGCGGCGGGCGGCGTCGGCAGCATGCTGGTGCAGATGGCGAAAGCCATCGGCTGCCACCCCATCGTGGCCGTCGTCGGCGCCTCGCACAAGGTGGCGGCGTGCGAGGCCCTGGGAGCGACGGCGGTCATCGACAAGTCGAAGGAAGACCTCTGGAGCGCGGCGTCGAAGGCCGCGCCCGGTGGCTACTGTGCCATCTTCGACGCGAACGGCGTGCAGACGCTCGCACGCTCGTACTCGGCGCTGGCGCAGACGGGGACGCTCGTCATCTACGGCTTCCACACGAACCTGCCCACATCGTCGATGCTCAACCCGCTCGCGTGGGTTCGCATGCTCGTTGGGATCCTGCGGATGCCGCGCTTCGACCCGATGGACCTGGTGCTGTCCTCCAAGTCGGTCGCGGGATTCAACCTCTCCTTCTTCGCCGACGAGACGCGGATGGTCGGCCGGTACTTCGAGCAGATCCTCGCGTGGGTCGAGGACGGCTCCCTCGCCCTCTCCAACGTGACCACCTTCCCGATGGACGAGCTGCCGCGCGCACACGACGCGATCCAGTCGGGCCAGTCGATTGGCAAGCTGGTGTGCTTGACGAGGCATGCGGGCGATTGATGGGGGCACCACCCGCAGCCTGCGCCGGAGCGGAAGGTCCCCGGCCCCCTCCTCCCACCCCCTCGGTGCGGCCTCTTTGAAGGGGCGGCGGAGGGCGGCGCCTCCGCGTCCGGTCCCGCTCGAGAGGATCGCTCGCCCTTAAGGCGCGCCGCCGCCGGCTCCCGCGCCCAGCCTCCCGTCGCTCGCCGCCGGCCCGACCCCTCGCCCCTCGCCCCCCTTCCCACCCTTCCTCCCCACGCGGCGGCCGCGCCTCCCCCGCAGGCGGAGCGAGCCACGTCCCGATGAAGACCGCGTCCGCGGGCGGGGGCAGTCAAGCTCCGGCCGGGCAGCCTCGTCTTTGTGGGCTGGGCGCGCTACCGTGAGCGCCAGCCTTGTCGGCCGGAGCCCACCGCGGCGGAGCCCGGCCTGCCGTGGGAGATTGTCGGAGATTGTCGGAGATTGTCGGAGATTGTCGGCCTGCCGTGGGAGATTGTCGGCTTGCCGTGTGAGATTGTCGGCGCCGAGTACGCGCGGCTGCCGGGCCTCGGGTCGAGGCCCGGGGCCGAGCCAAGCCCGGTCGATGCCAAGATCGCGCCGTGGCGCGCGGGCGCGCAGGCGGCGGCGGGCTCAGGCTCTACGGACGGCGTTCTCGGGCGGAGAGGAGGTGATCGCTCCGCGCGCCCACGCCGCCGCCGCCGCCGCCGCCGCCGCCGCCGCCGCCGCCGCCGCCGCCGCCGCCGCCGCCGCGCACCAACAGCGACCTGCCGCACGGTCCACTTGCTCCCCGCGGCGATGAGGAAGCAAACAACTCGTTAGATAGGGACAGATGACGCGCGAGCGGATGATTCTTCCCTTGTTTGGCTGTGGTTGTGAACCGCCTCCCCCCCACCCCCCCCCCCCACCGACCCACGAGCGCCAGCCACGGGCACCGCGCGCACGCACGTCCACCCGTCGCCTTGGCTCGCACGCGATCGAGCGGACCCTGCTCCGACCCATCGTCGTGCCTTCGCAGGTGATGGACCCGGGCGACGGCGGCCCCTCCGCTGCTGTTCGGGCGGCTGGCCCATGGCGATCTGGAGTGGCTGATCGAGATGGAGGAGGAGGGAGGAGGCATGCACTCCGCCACCCCAGCCGCCGTTCCGCAGCCCCTCGACTTCCCGTGCCTGCGCACAACCGGCCACTCTCCCGGACATCTCCCGGACACCCCCGGGACACTTCCCCGCCGCGCCGATCGACGGCCGTGGCTCTCTGACTCCCCCCTCCCTCTCGAGCGTCTTCGCTGTCCGGCTGCCAGCTTCCGCGCGGCAGCCGGGCACGCGGGGGCCTACGCGTTTTTGCGCCGGAGCGAGAGGTCGGGGCCATGGCGCTAGGGGCGCTTGCCGACCTCTCGCTCAGGGGCCAGGGGCGCTTGCCGGAGCCCTCCGTGTTTGAGTTTTTTCTCTGCGAATAATAAAGCTAGCTCAAAAATAAACCGCGCGCTGCCGGGATTAACAACAAGTCACTCACAGCGATATCGCCTCAGTGTTGGCGCTATTTGCGCCCCGGCCCCGCAGGGCTACGGCGGCAAGCGCGGCCCTCCGCGCCGCTCGCGCTCCACCCCCCCGCGCCGTTGTTGCGTCGCCCGCAAAAAGAAAGAAAGAAAACAGACAACCCAAGGGAGGGATGGGCGTCGCCCGCGTCGATAGAAAAGCGATTTGGAGCACTTGGAGTGCAATTATTAACCTCACATCCAGGGCCGAGGGCCGACTACACGGTAAGGCATACGGACCTTGCAGAAAACCTTTTCCTTCTAAGCAGGGCTACACAATGACCCTATAGTGTGTGGGTGTTCCTGGCGAGTTGTGATGAGTAGAATTAGACTAGCCAATGTTATTTTTAAGTTCATATATGAAAATACCAACTTGCCTATGTGCACGTCTCCGCCGCGGCGGCCCGGAGGCGGCCCGGCGGAGCGGTCAGAGCAGCACTGCGCGGGCCGGCGATCGACTCTCGACTATAGTACGGGCTCTATTGAATGGCCTCAAGGTGCTCTCTAGGGCTGCCCTATTCCGCTCGCCCGGCTACGTCGCCGGGCTTCGAAGGAAAAGGTTTCGCTCGGCACGGCGTCGGAGAGCAAACTTCGACGTTCGTCCTATAGTGGAAGCTGGACGCACGTAGGCAAGTGGCCCATGACCAGGCGGGCTGCTGCTCAGAATCTGGGCCGTCGGCGCTCGCTCTCGCGCTCTTCATAACGGCGTTGCCCCCTCCCTCCCGCGCCGACGTTGGGCAGCCCGACCACGACAACGTCAGCGCCGCTGGCCTGCAACTCGAGGCGCCTTTGAATGAGCACGAGCCGGTGCGCGGCGGCGGCGCGGGTGATGCAGCCCAAGGTGACGGCGACGGCAGAGGGGGCGGCGCCGGCGGCGGAGGAGGCGGCAGCGGCGGCGATGGCCGCGGGGTCGGCCCGCCCGCCTTTGCTGCTGGTGCTGTGGGCATCATCACAGCTCAGCGGCGGTGTGCGACCAGGGCCAGTGGTAGACTTTCGACGCGGTCAGGCTGCTCTCTGAGCAATGACACTAGCAAGAGCATCATGTGTGTCATCGGAGTCACTTGTATTATGATACCACCACGCCGCCACGCTCGCAAGGGCCGCCTAAGCGCCTAAGCACCCTAAGCACCCCCCCGCTTAGGCTGCTTAGGCGCTTAGGCGAGTGACGGCCGGCTGCCCGGGGCCTGGCGTGCCTCCGCCGTGGGCTGAGCGCCCGGGAGAGCCACTCTGCAAGTGGTGTGCGAGCGTGTAGCCTTTAGCGTGCAGTCGGCCCGAGGAGCTAAGAAGCGCACCCAGCGGGCCGGATGATCGGTGTCGGGTTGCGGGCAAGAGAGCCCTAGCCCCGGGGGTGCGCGTTCGCAGGGAAAGGGCTTTAAAGTAAACACGGGTCTCCGAGGGTTAGCTCCGCGCTCCGGGTTTCCCCTAGCAGCAGACCGCCCCCTCTACTCGGAGCTATAATGAACGCAGACTGATTTCTTTTCCTTGCGATGTCCACCCCGCCGCGCCGCCGCTCGCGCGGCCTCGCCTCCGCCTCCGCCGCCGCCGCTCCCTCGCCAAGCACGCCGCCGCCCGCCCGCCTCCTCGACCTGCCCACGGAGCTCCTCGTGCGCGCCCTCTCTAGCTGCGACCCCGTCGACATTGCTCGCGTCGCCGCCGTCTCCCTCCTCTTTTACGCCTCGCTTGCGGTAGAGGGCATCCGCTTGCGGGCGCAAGAGCGCGGCTACGAGCTGCCGGCGCTGCCAGAGGGCGAGGGCTGCGCCGTGCGGTGGCTGTGCTTCGCTGCGCTGCTGTGCGAGTCCAACCCGCCGGCGAGGGCGGCTGCAGGCATTCGGCACAGCCTTTTCATTGACGGCCAGGGGCGGCTCTCGGCGTGCGGCACAGCGCAGACCTTCAACCCATCGCTACTCGGTCACGGTGAGGGCGTGGCGCAGCTAAACACGCCGACCCGCCTCCCCTCGCTGGGCGGCGAGAGCGCCGTGAGCGTGTCGGCCGGAAGCTACCACAGCCTCGCCATCACTGCCGACGCCGCCGTCTGGAGCTGGGGCGGTGGATCCAACGGCCGGTTGGGCCACGGCGACGAGCAGATCCAGCTGCTGCCGAAGAAGATCGAGGCGTTTGCTGGCCAGCGCGTCGTCGCTGTGTCGGCTGGAGGAGCGCACAGCCTCGCCATCACTGCCAACGGCGCCCTCTGGAGCTGGGGCTATGGTCTTGACGGCCGGTTGGGCCACGGCGACGACCAGCGCCAGCTGCTGCCGAAGAAGATCGAGGCGTTTGCTGGCCAGCGCGTCGTCGCTGTGTCGGCTGGAGGGCACCACAGCCTCGCCATCACTGCCGACGGCGCCCTCTGGAGCTGGGGCGTGGGAGCCTCTGGCCAGCTGGGCCACGGCGACGTGCAGCAGCAGCTGCTGCCCAAGAAGATCGAGGCGTTTGCTGGCCAGCGCGTCGTCGCTGTGTCGGCTGGAGGGTACCACAGCCTCGCCATCACCGCCGACGGCAGCCTCTGGAGCTGGGGCCGCGGATTCTTTGGCCGGCTGGGCCACGGCGACACGCAGCTACAGCTGCTGCCCAAGAAGATCGAGGCTTTGGCCGACCAGCGCGTCGAGGCCGTGTCGGCTGGAGGCGGCCATAGCCTCGCCCTCACCGCTGACGGCGCCCTCTGGAGCTGGGGCAGTGGCAGCGATGGCCGGCTGGCCCACGGCGTCGAGCAGAACCAACTGCTGCCCAAGAAGGTCGAGGCCTTTGCTGGGCAGCGCGTCGTCGCTGTGTGTGCTGGAGCATACCACAGCCTCGCCCTCACCGCCGACGGAGCCGTCCTTACCTGGGGCGAGGGTGAGCGTGGCTGCCTAGGCCACGGGGAGGACCTGTCGAACCAGCTGCTGCCCAAGAAGGTCGAGGTGTGGGCGCAAGGGCAGCGGGAGTAGATGAGCTCGCCGCCGCCGCCGCCCTCCATTGAGCCTTCGCTGCCGCCGTCGGAGTCGCCGTCGCCGCGGCCGCCCTCCGCGACGATTTTTGCCGTCGCCACCGTCGGCGCCACCGTCGCCTTCGTCAGTATCGCGAATCGCCGCCGCCTCCCTCGGGGATGCTCCCTCTGCTGCTGCGCACGCGCGCTCGTAGTTATGTACCGGCCAGGAACCCCTCGCTCGGCCAAACCGCGAACTCCACGGCAGTGCACAACCGGATCATGTTTTATATTTTCTCCGACCCCGCCCGCGCGAGACACTTCACGTGACACTCACGGAGTCAGTGTGAGGGGTGCAACCCCGCCGGCGCCGCGCACAGACCCGCAGCACGCACCGCCGCGCCACCGCGGCACCGGGTCCACCGAGAGCCGGCGGCACACGCACTCCGGCAGAGCGCGCGGGTACACCGGGTTTTGTGTGGAGAGTGGAGCTCCCTGAGCTGTCTGTTTTCTATCTTTCGGGCCGCGTAGAGTGTAGGCACGCCGAAGCGCGAGGTCCAAAATGCCAAACTCCCCCGTGAGCCGTGTGTGAGATTGGCTCACAAAGCAGAACCGCAGCACGACTGCACGAGCCCCTCTCGTTTGCCCTCCTTTCCCTCCCGATCTGAGATCCGGACACGTACCTGCTCCCGCCGCAGCCGCTGCGCTGCATGTATCGACACCGTCGCTCCACCGATCGCTCACACCCGGCGCAGCACCACACTGCGCCTTCTTCTGCTTCCTCCATCTTCCTACACCGCGGGGTTGGGGCGGTGGGCTAGGGTGGCGGGGGCGAGAGGGGCGAGGCGAAGGAGAGGGCAGCGACGGCGGGATGGCGGGGGCGTTGCGAGTGTGTCTGAAGAGGCGCTGAGGCGGCGCTTTTGTCGGTGGGCGGGCGAGGCGGCGGTGGGCTGGTTGGCGGCGCAGCACTTGCCGAACGGACGGCGAGCTCTTGGGTATCTCGTGTCCCCTCGTGTCCTCTCGTGTCCCCTCGTGTCCTCTCGTGTCCTCTCGTGTCCTCTCGTGTAGCCTCGCACTTCTTGTCCGCACGGCGATGTGCATCTTGAGGAAGCCCTGCACGACGAGGACCTCCGGCAGCCGACCCTGCGCAGAGACACCGAGGGTCTCCCGGACCGCGCAGTGGACCTATGGGATAGGCTCGCTCATCCACTCCGCCGCGTCCGGCAGCCCAGCGGAGGCGGCGCGGCGCCGCCGCCGCTGTCCTTCCGCGCCGTTTGGGCAGTGAGAGAGGGCGCAGGCGGTCGACGGGAGGAGGACGTGTGGGGGTCTCGAGGCGTTGTGGGAGAGCTAGAGCCGGACCGCTCGAGGTCGTCGCTCCTGCGGCGGCGGACGAGGGGACTCGTGAGTATTCGGAGGCGGCGCAGAGTGCGTGAACGCAAGAAGGGCGCAATGGCGAAACAGAGGCGCGGTTAGCGAGAGCGGCTCGCGGGATGATGTTTGAGTGGCGCATTCGTGAGAAAATACGGAGGGGGGGGCCGTGGCCGGATACCGGATTGCATGCCTGTCCACCAATCAGAACGCAAGCCGAACTGCAGCCATCACCGTGCCGTGGCGGCTCGGCGCTTTGCGGCGGCGAGTCGGCGAGCCCTGCGGCTGCACGGTCCAGACCAGAGGGCGCGACGAGCGACGCGCGGCCGTCGGCGAGGGCGAGGCCGCCGGGCGGGCGGACGAGGAGGGCGGCGACGGCGGCCATGCTGCGCGGGCGGGCGAGTGGGCGCGAGGTCCCTCGGGGCGGCTTGCAGCGCGCCGCTGCAGGGGTTTGCCCTTCACCCGCACTCGAATCCCAGGGAAATTGGCCGTCCGGCGGCGAGGAGGGGCACCAACCACACAACCGACACAAGCAGACATGTCTGGACGCGGAAAGGGCGGCAAGGGCCTCGGCAAGGGCGGCGCGAAGCGCCACCGCAAGGTGCTGCGCGACAACATCCAGGGCATCACCAAGCCCGCCATCCGCCGCCTCGCGCGCCGCGGCGGCGTCAAGCGCATCTCGGGCCTCATCTACGAGGAGACGCGCGGCGTCCTCAAGGTGTTCCTCGAGAACGTGATCCGCGACGCGGTCACCTACACCGAGCACGCGCGCCGCAAGACCGTCACCGCCATGGACGTCGTCTACGCGCTCAAGCGCCAGGGCCGCACGCTCTACGGCTTCGGCGGCTAAACAACCGGCCACCACCCAATCCCCGGTGTTTCTAAACACCACCCTCCTCTCTCCGGGCTCTCGCGCCCTCTGCCTCGCGCGACGGGTGGCTGCCCTTGTGTGCGCTCGGGTAGTTTGCCTTCCCTGCGCGCTGCGGGCGGAGGTATTTTTTTCGCGCTCCGCCCTGAGCCTGACCCCTGTCGCCTGTGTCTGTGAGCGGATGGCTCGATTCGGCAAAGGGAAGTGCTTTTTCTTTTTTCGCACGAGGCGATAAATTTGTTTATCGCATATTGCTTCTGGTAGGCCAGAGGCGGGGCAAATTTTTTCTTTTTTCGGGCGGGCAAGAGTTCGGCGCTTGGGGGAGGCCCCAGACCTCAGCGGCTGCGCCGGCGGCTGCGCCGGGTCGTCGTCGGCGCGCGGGCCGCCAAAGGACGCCGCCTGAGCGCGAGGCCGCCTCGACGCCCGTGCGCAAACGAGAGAGCCGTCCGCTGGCGGGCGCCGTGCGAGACACCGCCCTCTCTGACATAGCCGCCGCGTCTCGACTCGGTGATGGCGCCCGAAGCGATCCCGCCCGCCACGCTGCTCGCCGACATCGCCGCCGCCGACCTCGCCTCGCTGCGCGCCCACCTCTCCGGCCGGCGGACGCGCGGCAGTCTCGACGCGCGGCTCGACACCGAGAAGCAGGACACGCTGCTCACCTGGGCCGCTCGCCACGGGCAGGCCGAGGCGGTGCGGCTGCTGCTCGAGGCCGGCGCGAGCGTCGGGGCGACGACGGGCGGCGGCGGTGGTGGCAGCGGCGGCGCGTCGGCGCTGCTCATCGCGTGCTCGGAAGGCCACCTCGAGTGCGCCCAAGTGCTTCAGCAGGCTGGCGCGGCGGTCAACCAAGCCATGGACGACGGCGTCACGCCACTGTACATGGCGTGCCAGGAGGGCCACGTCGAGATCGCCCGGCTGCTTCTCGAGGCCGGTGCGGCGGTCGACCAAGTTGATGATGAAGGCACCACGCCGCTGTACATCGCGTGCCAGAAGGGCCACCTCGAGGTCGCCCAGCTGCTCATCGAGGCCGGCGCTGCGGTGAACCAAGCAGATTCTGACGGCGCCACGCCGCTGTACATCGCGTGCCAGCAGGGCCACGTCGACACCGCCCGGCTGCTCCTCGAGACCGGCGCGGCGATCGATCAAGCCATGAACGATGGCGTCACGCCGCTGTTCATGGCGTGCCAGAATGGCCACCTCGAGATCGCCAAGCTTCTCTCCTCCTACGGCGCCTCCCGCGCCGCGGTGCCGCCCTTCGGCACGCCCGAGGAGGCCGCGAACCGCCGCGGCCACGCCGACCTCGCCGCCTGGCTGGTCGCCAGCCGCGGCTGGACGCCGCTCGCGCACCTTGAGAGCCTCACCGCCGCCCGCGCTCTCTCCCTGCTGCGCAGCGGCGCACGCCTGCACGAGGGCGAGCCGACGCCGCTGCAGCGCGCCGCGGGCGGCGAGGGCGAGGCGGCGGCGCTGATCCGGCGGGCGGCGGCGCCGTGGTCGCCGGCAAGCCACTCGCTCTTCCCCGCGGCGGCGCGCAAGTACGCGGTAACGGTCATGCGCATCGGCCACCAGATCGCGCTCTCTCCGCCCGACGGCGCCGAGGCGCGCCCGGACTGGAGCGCGCTGTCCGACGTGTGGCGCGAGCACGTGCTGCCGCACGCGGTGGCGCGCTGAGGCCGAGTGAGGACGCGAGTGCCAAGCAGGGGAAGGGTCGGAGTGCAGAGAGAGGTGAATTTTATGTGGATGGTTAGTTTTTGATTGTTCGTCGGATTGCGTTGTTTTTTTCTTGAACATTTGTGGACTCCACTTGTACCGCCAGGGAGCGCCTCGCACCGACACGTGCGTGTTCGACTGAATTAGTTGTAAAGCCGCACTAGCCCGTACCGTCTCAGCGAGGTCCAGAGGAGAGAGGTCGACTTACGATCCGGGTGTGGCTTTATCACTACTCACGAGCAACAACGAACAGCCCGAAGAGTGAACACATCCGAACGCGGAACGGTGTCGGTGAACCTCTCCACCTCTCCCTCGCTCCACTACTCCAGGTGGACTCCACCACGCTTACCGCGCTGTGTCTCGGTGTCGCGATATCCGATATGTGAGAGTGGTCTGAATTCCCCGCAGCGCATGCAACACCGTGTACTCCAATACTCCGCGTACTCCTCTACGTGTAAGGCCTTCGTGCTTCGACCGTCGGTGTGCTGGACCGGGTCCTCATGGCTCATCATGCCAGAGGCAGCGTGGCGAGGTCCCACCAGACGGCGAGCAGCACCAGCTGAATGAGCCCGCGCGCGGCGTGGTCCTGCGGGTACCGCAGCCGCACCGGCAGCTCCGGCTCGAGCGACACGTCGTGCGTGAACTGGTAGGGGCAGGCGCGACGAGCGTTCGGGGAGGCGGGGCGCGAGTGGTAGAGACAAAACTGCTTCGACGCAAGTGTCTGGAGCGAGTGTGCGCGTCTGGCTCTTCCTGTCTCTCGCCTGGTAGATGTTCGCCGGCGTCACCGCGGCAGTGAGCAGGAAGAGCGCAGCGCAGGGCAGCTGCAGCGGGACGGCGAGGAGGCCGACCTGTTCACAGCTCGAGCACGCTTCACCGCAGGAACAGGAGGCCTGTTCACAGCAGGAGGCCGACCTGTTCACAGCAGGCCGCGTGGAGCAAGCCTCTCGCCGAGCCCTGCGGGTGGAGGCGGGCGAGGAGTGCGGACCGCCGAGAGCACGAGGGACGCGCCGGCGACCACCTCTGCCACGCCCGTCCAGTAGGTGTGGTACTGCCTGCCCACAGGTACAGCGCGTGAAGAAGACGCTGTCCACACTCGCCTGGCTGAGCAGTTGTGTGTGTGGATTGCCCGTAGCTGATCCCGAGCATGTCGGCGCCCGGAGCCGGCACCTGGCGGCGGGGGAGCACTTGCGTGAGCGGGTCGGCGGCGGCAGTGGCCGCGGCGAGTGTGGCGGCGGAGACGAGGCGAGGCGGTGGCGGAGCTGGTGGCCGGCGATGTGTGTAGTGACGCAAGTGTGGTGGCGGCAGGCGTGGTGGCAGGCGAGGAATACCTGCCAGCAGCCCCAGGTGCCGCGAGGCGGCGTGAGGCGGACGTACATGTCGGTGAGCGTAAAGTGGGTGACGCCAGCCACAGTGAAGGCCAGGCCGAGCGGAATCGGCAGCACGGCGGGCGCGTTTGCCACGAAAGCGTCCAGACGAGAAAGGAGGGTGGCGAAGGCAGCCGTGCCCGCGACGACACCGGCGCTAATGCCAGCAAATGCAAGCCGCTGCGTGGACACGTCCAGGCTCGAGACCAACCGGGAGGGGTCTGGCCTCGGAGGGAGGTCCGTCAGCTCGCAGGCGGGTCTCGCAGTCCGGCATGGCGCGGTGAGCTGCAGCTGGCGTGCTGGGTTGCTGAGCGGCCGGCCGGAGTGGAAGCTGGCCGACGCGGCTAAGGGAATGCACACGAGGAAGAAGGCGGTGGCCGACGGCGGCATATACCTTTGTATCATGTGCTTTCGCATGTCGGTACGTATGACACCTGAGAAATCACTTCGCGGGGTTCCCCTACCCCACACCGTTCTCCCATCCCTCCCTGGGGTTGTCTGTTTTCTTTCTTTCTTTCTTTACACTGCTCGTGCGTGTCGTCATCATCTGTCCCGCGTCCACCCATACCGCGTTGGTGTCCAGTCCGAGCCTGACTGTTGTTCATCTTTCTACATACATACACAACTCTCCAATGTATGTGCACAGGGACTGGGCGAGCGGGCCGCGCTCGCGTTTGTTCTTCCCTTTCTCCTTTTGTTCAATTCTCAGCGTGAAACGAAAATAAAAAAGAGCCGCCGTCAGATCAGCGGCGTCGACGACGTTGGCACTGGCCAGCTTCGTGACCGAGGAGACGGTCTCGACCTCCTCCTCGGCCACGCCCAGGAGCTCGGCAAGCGCGTTGGAGATGGAGTGCATTGCGAGAGTGTCGTCAGAGGGCGGTCACAAGCAAGCGGAGAGGCTTTGGTGGCAAGAGCCATGGACGTGGGTCGTGAAATTCACGGCACCCTAGATAACCGACCGAAACCGCTGAAAAGCGGGACGAACATACAACGTCTTTCTTCTTTTTGGACGAGGTCGAGGATCGCACACGTACAGCGTACCGCCGCACAGTACGGCAACGCACCGACACACCGGACAATGTGGCAGTGCCCACACGCGTCCGTTGGCGTCGCGCGACGGGGCACCAACCATTCCACTAGACAGTACATGCATGTCTATCCTTGTACATCGCAGCTGCGCTCCACAAGAGCCACTCCCCACTGCCTGAGGGAACGTACATCCCAGCGCCGCTGCCGAGTGCCGATGTCCGTCCCACAGCCTCAGTAGAGGGAACAAAGCAGCTGCAAGCTGCTGACCATCGTCTCGGTATTGCTCACGTCAAACCGTGGCAAACCCAAGCCACGTGAGCGGATCAGGACCCATTGTCATTTTGTCAGGAGGCAGGTAAGGTTCAGTGCTCCGAGTTCGCGACCAAGGCGCGCCATCGCTGTGGCGTGCACGAGCTGGTCCACCCGTGTCATGCTGCGCACTGCTGCAAGCACTGTGCCAGATATCTGTGTGTTCTCGGGGTGGGTGCCGTGGGTGGCATGCCGGGGGGGGTTGCCGGGGGGGGTTGCTGCCTCGCAGGAGCAGACGAACGGTTCGGGCCAGGAGGTGTTGGTGCCCTCTGCGAGCTCTGGGCGGGCTGCGAGCACTGCGCGAAGTACGCAGAGTGACGCGGTAAACTCTTCGGTCACGCCCACCCAGGCTGCCTGCTCCACGTGGCGCATCGCATCTTCGGCATCGTCTCCCAGCAAGTGGGCCTGCTTGTTTCGTGGGTCATAGCCGCAGTGCCTCCCCCACTTGAACGGAGACGTTGCTGCCGAGGTTGCGTCCTGGGATTGGAGCGCCGAGAAGTTCATCACCCAGTCTTCGAACGAGATCGGCGAGTAGTGGTGGAGACGGGCCCCGTTGGCCCCAACTTGCTGGCAATGCATCCACATCGACCGCACGTGGAGGATTGGGTTGCGGACAATGGTCATCAACTCGGTCCCCGCCATCATCTTCATGCTAGGCCTGCTGGTGGCCACAGATGCGTCTTGCGACATCACCATGTTGCAGCCCTTGTAACGCGCGTCGTCGTGCCCCAGTCGCATTGCAGCAGGGTCGTGCCCGACGATGCATTTTCTCCTGCCCGCGCACTGCGTTGACTCAAACGGGTTGCAG